AAATCGGCATACCATCAAAAACTCTACGAATAATAATGAAATGCTACAGCGGAATGACGAGTATGATATATGTGAATGGAACTGTCACAGATGCGTTTTTATTGCACCAAGGAACAAGACAGGGAGGAGTGTTGTCAAGTTTTTACTACTTAATCTACATAAATGATCTTCTGAATGAACTAGAAAACAATAAAATAGGTTGTTTTGTGGGAAAATTAAACTGCTCCGCGCCTACAATGGCAGACGATATTACTCTTATTTGCCCGGATGCAAATTCTCTACAGTCATCTCTTAATATTGCATATTCATACTCATGTAAATGGAGGTTCCTTTTTAATCGAGAAAAAAGCAAATTTTTGATATGCAGCTTTAAAAGAAACCCACATATACCACCGATGATTCGGATAGCATCAACGAATCTACAACGTGTATATAGTGCTCGCCACGTCGGTATTGATGTTGTGCCATCACTAAAATGTACTAATTCAATCGAAACTAGGTGCTCAAAAGGCCGAGGTTCCTTATTTTCAATATTGGACTTAAGAAATGAAGACTCTGAAATAAATCCAATGATTCTAGCAAATATGACTGAAAAAATAGTTTTCCCTACGACTCTTTACGGCTGTGAACTATGGAATAGCATGACATTGAATGATTCAAATATCGTAGAAAAGTTTGTTAGATTCTGTGCCAAACGTATACAAAATTTCAGTCAAAGAACAAGAACGGACATCGCACTAAGTATGCTTGGTTGGTCATCAATGGAGTCAAATATTGACAAAAGAAAATTACTTTTTCTCGAAAAACTATGCACAACACCAACATATCTACTGGCAAGACAAATTTTCGATCTTAGATTACAGCTGTTTATAAATGGAAATTTCACTATTCAGAAAGGATTCATACCAGATATATTTAGAATTCTAAGAAAATATAATTTAACAGATTACTTATACAACTATGCCAAAAGTGGTCGTTTTGCATCTAAATGGATGTGGAAAATAATTGTTAAAAAAGCTGTTAAATCGTTTACAGTTTTTGAATGGAGAAAAAATATCTTTGAAGATGAAGACTTTATTCGTTTCAGAAGATTACATCTGGACCTTAAACCTGCTATAATTTACGAAATACCACGTAATGCTCAGGAGTTGACTTTGTGTATGTACATTGCAAAATTATGGGCAAGTGTATCATACTTAAAAATCCAGATGTGTTTAAAATGTAACGTTCAAACAAGTGATATATTGACACATATATGTTTAGAATGTCCATCTAACAACAATGAAAGATCACACTTTTTTGATCAACTCAATTCCATTGTAAATATCAATATTATACAAGACATACATAATCTTTCAAATCCTTTAAAACTTGACGCTATGATGGGATCTCTTCTTTTAAACACATGTGCAATAAACCCAAACGAGTACCACTCCTTTTTATTCCAGTCGTTTGCTTATATAAAACTTGTTGTAGGCAACAAGTTTACTGTCAGAGAAACTAACTGAAATATATTTCACAAATTGTGTCATATCAAACAATAAGCGTACCTAGATGTTAATCCATTTTTTAGTGTTTTTGTTTTCGTTTCGTTAAAGCACTAATTTTAAATGGAATTCTAGACAATAAATTATATATATAAATATATATATATATCACATGCAGCATCTTTTGTTACAAATGTAAATATGTATAAATTATATTATGATGCATATAAATTTATGTGCTTAACCTATGTTTACACCATGACCTATATTTTCTATGTTGAATTATTGTATAACTTGTAATGATTGTGATTGTACATTTATATATATATATATGTTTTTTTTCTTCTATTATGTTAAAATCTATGAAAATGGGAAATAAAGTGTAATAATAATAATAATATACTCCACTTTAGAACGCACAAACTCTCCATTAAAGGACGCATCTGGACGCACCCACCCCTCCTTTAAAAGCCGCACCCGCTCTACTTCCCAAGCTCTTCTAAACAAGGTTGCATCACTTTCTGGATCTGTAATGATTTCCAACTTTAAGTGTTTTGACTTCAGTGAAAGTGTCAGTCAATATATTTGACTTGAGTGAAAGTGTCACTCAAAATGTATTTGGCATATCAATGCGATTTACTTTCGTTAAGTTCGAAATACGCAGAAAAAAGTCAATTAATTAGTTTGTGTTTTTTCTTCGAGTGGAAATATTTGAATTTTACATAAAATGCCACTCGACGTTTAGTTTTATCATAGTAAGGTGCTTAGATTATACCCATACACATAAATTTTCAACTGATAAAATGCACATATTATGTTCTACCCAAAACAAATCACACCCGCAACGTTAGTTTTTGAGATTAGAGTTTGGCGGGGAAAAAACAGTAATAAAGGATATTTCTTTAATACTGATAGCTTTTCATTTTTATTTTTTGTGAAATACAGCAAAAAGTCTGGAATTCTAATGAGTAAGGATAAATATAATGCTTTTTGGAATTTTCCGCAGAGAGAAACGCATGTTTGAACTGTCAGAAATTCCGATGAACAGTCAGAAATTCCAATGAACAGTCAGAAATTCCAACGCAATTCTGATGATTTCCTACAATCAGGAAGATCCAGGCTTGATACTATCTTCATTTAAGGTTCATCGTAGCAGTGTAAAATTCGATTGTACACATAAGAGTTTTTAAACTTTAGAAATCAAATGCCCTATCAATATATCTATGTTTTTAACAAAATATGACACTAAAAATAGCTTTAACCACCTCGAAACCACGGCGATAGCGACATGACTACTAAACTTCCTTGTGTGGCTCGGACAAAAGGAACAAACACCCAAACACCCAATGTTTTCAATAGCAAAGTTTTCTGTATTGAATTTCCATTATCATACTATGATCGACATATCATACCTACACATTTTGTTTATTTCTGCATGGTTAAAATAAACTAATTTACTATTTTAATATTCATCGCATATATAATGGCAACCATACTCAGCCCGAGGGAGATAGAAACTGATGGTATTCCGCTTAGAGATCATAGTGAGATATTACCTCGATTACAAGAACGCCGTGGTTTACACCAGTCGGAATATAAGACTACACCTGAACCCAGGTACAAATCCTTGGTAAGTCTTTTCATTTAATAAGATTTGTGACGCCAGGAAAATTAAATGGGGTTCTTAAAAGTTTAGATTTTAAGTAATTATTAATTTACCAGGCTGAATCGAAAACTAACATCAAACATTATATAGAGGATATTGAATGAGTGTAAGTTTAATTCTGAATTTATTGAACGAGTTGAATAAAATTATTTTATTCAGCGAGTTCAAAAAGAACCATTTTTCATTGATGCGCCTATAGTGTAACGCTAACATTTTGCACGTCTTAACGCTACTGTATGTTTATATACCGCAAAAATGACGTCACGTCAAAATATGTGCACGGCCGTGCAACACCATATTTACGGAGACGCAAAAACGGCACGGATATGTGATAACTTGTTTTATCACATGACGTCTGTTTTCCATGACGTATTTCTTTTTATTTCGCATCGTTTGAAATGTTACCAGTTAACATTTAGCGTTTGCACCACGTGATGTTCCAATATCAATCATAATTGAAACCAGTTTTATCAATCTAGCGTCGTTTGTCCAAATCCATATGAATTTCATATTGTATCCAAAGTAAAAAAAGTTCTGTCGAAATGTAAAACGATTGGAGGTGTGAAATAAAGAGGTTGAGTGAGCTGGTGCATCGTCCGATATAGGTTTCACAACTGAGTAATAGTCCATTAGAATTCAATATTGAACTCAGCAATGTGTAATAACCTTATAAAATTATATTACATCTCATGTGAGATCCTATATATATCTTTAATTGGTACAATACGATGTATATAGTTCATCCACTGCATATAACATATTTGCAAACTATAAGTTTGCAAAATCTTCAGCGAAAAAAAACCTCAGCTTTATTGTAAAATCATTCTTATCATTAATCAATTGCATAAGATTAACAAAAAGCTCGTCCATAGAAAGAAGGCCATTGAACAAACAAAAAATATTGAACACTACAGACAAAAAAAATGAAGTTTAGAAATTATTCTTAAAATTGTTTATTTATTTCGGCTTCAGGTGAAAATAACTGTTAAAATATATTTGAAAATGTTCATTGATGCAAATCATGAATGTTTAAATGTTTTATAGAGAATCAAAACAGCGCTGAAGTATATGGCAGTGTTTTTAATAGTCAGTGGAGCAGTTGTAGCATATACACTTACGCACATCAAAGAAAACAAGTAAGCGGAAGGTGTTTTTTCTTTCTTCTTTTTCTTAAAGCTAAGATTAACGTTTGTTTTTCTAAAGATATACTATGCTCATCCTTAATTAAAGTATTTTAACTGCATAGATCTATTGAAATTTGTGAAATTCTTACTGAATATGTCTACTTTGATTACAAGAATGAGTAAACAATGCACGTGAAGCTGCGTTCACGGTAACAGGTCAAGTAAAGTTGGTCTTTTCTTTTAAAAAAACCCTGAAGTCAAAACATGTTTATTTTATATTTACAAAGAAACTGTGTAGCAATTATCAAAATTTTATAATATCAAATTTGAGCATAGTATATCTTTAATGTTTTGTTTATTTCGTTGGGTTTTAAGCCACACCGACACTTTTCAAAGGCCATACGTTGACTTTCCAGCTTTACTGGTGGAGAAAGACCTCAGGTGCCCCTCAATGCGCCATTTCAGGCACGAGCGGCCATCTGAGTAGAACCACCAACGTTCCGGAAGCTAGCTAGATAGCTTTGCTTCCTCCGAAGTCCCTGGCGGGATTTGAACCAACAGCGGAAATCAAGGGCTTGATCCCGGCTATTTATTTTCCCAATTCCGGCATTAATTTTATTATTATTACATTACATAACATTACAATAAGTAATGCTTCAATAAGATAAATTAAATTTGTACCTAAAATTCCAAAACATGGTTTTAATAACATTTCTTAAAAAGAACTTTTATGAATTAAATATTATTATCTTCCTGTACTCTAGTGCAATAGATTCACTGGTTTCCCTAGCGTCGGAGATGAAGCCGGTAGCCAATACGTATGACGACATAGACTTAAATATAGGTGAGTGGTGCACTCATTGCACTTAATGATTTGTAAAACTGATACTTTTTTTCTACCCAAAAAATTATAAATAAGTTATACGTATTTCATGTATTTATGTAATGATGTATTGAACAGAAGAAGATTCATACTCAGTATTAGGCAATAATAATAATAATAATAATAATAATAATAATAATTAATAATAATAAATAATAATAATAATATTAATAATAATAATAATGATAATAATAATAATAATAATAATAATAATAATAATAATAATAATAATAATAATAATAATAATAATAATAATAATAAAAGAAAAAAAAGAAAGAAAGAAAAGTAAATCAAGTACGAAAAAGAATATCAGCAAGGAACTAATTCTGATACTGCAGTAATAAATAGCATATTTAGTTTAGATACACAATTAATTGTCTCCGATATAAAATAGAAAGACAGCAGATATTTCGAGATTATATTTTATGAATATTTTATGCTTATATCTAGGTTCGAAGCACGCCTTTCAACACTGCGGCAATGTTAAATTCAAGCGTTCCTTTCCAAACATCGACTACGCGTTGTACGGGTATCATATACTGAAGGGATTTCCGCTGGCAGATGGTCACGACCCAGGGTTCACCTACCCTATATTTGCTGCCGATTTTTCCTCAAATGGTGTATCCGCTGATTGCCGTTTCTTTGTACCCGATGGACTAGTTGTCAACCCTGATGTTTCATGTTTCCTTTCAGTAACCTCTCAGACAGTTCAAACACAATATGAATATTCAAAACTTCTTGAAGCACACACTAACATAGAAGGTGAAGACAGAAAACAAGGAGACAATGACGCGAAAGCACCGAAGAACACCGAAGACACTTCAGAAAACCCATGGGGTGAAAGCTTCTCTGCAAGCATTGGGTATAAGCAAACGTCGTCAAAACTATCATCCGGTGCAACTGTTTACGTGTTTTCCACAGTAAAATGCAAATATTATTTTAGTAAGTTGGTACAGGAGGAAGCTCCACAATTCGACGAGGCTTTTCTTAATCTCTTAAACAAACTCGATGAAGCGGATCTTGACATTCAACTTTACTTCAAGCTTTTTGACACTTACGGCACACATTTCGTAAAAGAAGTTACATTTGGAGCTAGATATACATTTGAACACAAAATGTCGTCAAAATATTATAATCAATTAAAGAGGCGGAATGTCAACGTGAATATTTTATCAGATTACGTAGGGGCAAAACGTTTATCTCTTGATGCTAGTTTGTCAACTACGCTTCAGAGATATGCCCCCGAATTCGAAGAGAATGTTGAAACAAAAGTAATTCCTGTTGGTATCGCCCCAGCAGAAAATGGAACGGCGCTATCGTGGGCCTTAGAGGTTCAGTCAAACCCAATACCGACGGAGTATAAACTTTCATCGATCGAAGACCTTTTTACAGATACATTTATGGAAAACATGACAATCAACTATCAAAAGATGCGTGGTCATATAATAGGCTTAAAGTACCAATATTGTTCCTTTCTGCAAGAAGCTGGTAAAGTGGAATCTTGTGCAAATCTAGGCGCTGGAATCATCTTACAGAACACAAAACTATTAAGACACTACAAAGAACTTGCCGTCACCTCGATATCTGGATGCATCGACAAATGTTTGAAAGATGTCCTCTGCAAAGCAACAACTTACTGCATTTCATGTTTGAGTAAAGATCCCGGTTACAAGAAGTGTTTTTTACTGAGGGGACTAAATAACTCGGCAATTTCAGCTGTCAAAACAGAAAAACCGGACCCTCTTTGGCAGAGTAATATCTTTACAGTGAAAATGGACACCCAACTGAAATTAAGCGATGTTTCTGTTATTGGTCCAGAAATCTCTATTGACGATGAAGATGATAAGCGCGCAGATCTTGACCGCTGTCAACAGCTCTGCATTACTGAAGCTTACTGTTCAGTTTACACGTTTAGTTACAGTTCAGGCAATACCACTCTATGTAAACTTTACGATCAAAAGCTTGTAACAGCCCTTGAGAAAATGGTTGGCATGGATACTTTCTTTCTACCCAGCAACATTGACGTAACTTTATAGATATAATAACTATATCTGAATACATTGATGAACTGTTTCGATCCTAGCCATTAGCCTCTTGGAAGCGAAAGTGATTAGCTTTTACCACCATTTTAGTGCCAGGTCTGCTTGCACAAATGATAGTATTTTGATATTAAAATTTATTATAACTTAAAATTGGTTCAAAAGTGAAAACAATGCTGTAACCACTACAAAAACTCTGAATGTTGGGGGTTAATAATGCAACAGAACATTGCTACATTTTTTCGCAAGAAATAAAAAGAGAAAAAGTAAACATGCACAGAGTTTTATATAAATGATGTAAATAAAGAAAACGTTCCCTGTACATAACTTTTCGTGACTAAACATTTCTACCTATTTTTTTCATCTAAGCACAATATACAAAATATGTTAAACGTGGCTTTGAACATGGTCACGAACACGATTTTCCGTTGTTTATAGTTTTCATATGATAAAGTCTACGTTACTTATAATGTTAGCACAATTTGTACGTTTTTATCATGTATGCGTACGTTACACATGTATGCTGGAACCGAAATGAATAAGCTAGGCTGTACATCCATGCAGACTGAACCGGCTCTGTAAATATGGCTTATTTACATTAGAAATTTCAATCTAATATTCCAAGATTGATAGATCTAAAACAATGGAAGTTTGAAAAGTGCATTTAACAAATTTAGCAAGTTTAGATTAGGCTTGCAAATACATACAGTCCTACCAGTGTCAGATTTGTCGGCATCTTTTTTTCTTACAGGCCATCACATTATCTATACCTTTTCTATTACTACTAGGATAAGGCGAATATAGAAACTAAATGCGTATTTTAGCAAAATTCCCCCAGGTTAATATTTGCAAACAAAGTGTGAAATATATATTCAATGCATATAAAACGTTTTGGAAACGTTCATGTTTTGCAAAAGCAAAAGAATTCTATTATATAGACAGAATGAAAAGTAAAAAAAAACCTGTAAACTCAAACTTTACAAGAAATTATATATGATCTTTTGAAAATTTCATAGCGAACTTAAAAGAACGAAAAACTAAAACTCGCTTGGTTTGCATAAATAGTCTTGTATATAAACCAATTTAAGACATATCTGTGAAAATTAGCCTCCTTATAACATAATGGAAATGGCATATTTTTAAAGTCTGTCCTTTAATAAAAAGACGGGCAACTCTTTGTCCCTTTCTCGTAAGAGAAGGGGAATCATGTGATGCGTGTATGTGGTCGCACGGTCACTTTATATTAAAACATGTCCTCGATGCATGTATGTGGTCGCATGGTCGAAAATTTCTTTTAAAAAAATGACAATATTTTCGAAAGTGTTATGGTACGCAAAATTTTCTTTAAAAATTGTGTAAGTTTTAATAAGGAGTTTGGAAAGCCTTATGAAGTCTTTTTTAATAATGATTAGGAGTAATGAAATACAAACAAGACAATAAATATGGGAGATTAAAAACCTTATTACAAATGTGTAAGTCCAAGTTTGTAAGCCATCATTAGGACCTTCAATGTTAGGTCATGCTGAGAAACTGAAAGAATAAGGGCGAATCACACGGGCAACTTATGTTGAACGTATGCTATTTCACATAGGTCTTGGCCAACGGGGTCATTCATGCAAACATTTAAGACCCGAGTCTCATACTGCTGTAGACAAGCGTTAAAGCTGCACGCATCCAGATGAGCCAAATAATTGCAAGATAATGAACTTTGAGAAAAATATACGATGATTCAAAGAAAGATAAAATTATTACAATTCAAGAAATTATTTACATGTTATATGCAATGAGTGGCTGATTGTGCAGAATTAATCACCATATTTCTACTGCTTCACTAGCGCAGTTAGGGCTATTTTTGCGTATTTTGAATTATTTCAGGTAACTTTCATAGATTGGAAGTGCTCTTTGCAATGCGTGAATTACTTTCTTTGTTTACTTTACAATAATTTACTTTCTAAATACATTTTTGATTTTTTTAAGGAAAGTTACCATGAATCTGGATGCGTGCTGCTTTAATGTCTGATATTTATATTTATGCCAAATGCTATAAGTTACAGTATGTATAAAACATATAGTTCTGATGAATGCTATTTGTCAAAGAGTATGCCTTTATGTATGTTAGCGCGCCTTAGCAAATTTTAGATGCAGTGGCCATAGCTTGAAAATAAAATCAGGAGGGTACTTAAACAATTACAAAGAATTAAGTTATTGTTAATTTTGTCTATTATGTAATGTGTATGTTATTGAAAATGAAGTGCACCTTTTGATTGACTGTCTACTGTACAACGACCTCAAACAGCAATACTTAAGGTAGAACGCGACACTGCAAACTTTCTAGTTTGAGTCTTGAAAATTGGTATGTAAAAAGTTGACCATATTTCAGATTTCATGTTCCAAATCGGGCTTCAGTGGTCAACTTTGACGTCATTTGTACAAAAAATGGCTAAAACTATTGGAATAAAATCGACGGAATCTGAAATATGATCAACTTTATACATGCCAATTTTCAGAACGCCAATGGAAAGTTCACAGTGTCGCGTTCTACCTTAAACTCAAGTAACTAGAATGTTATTGTACACGTAAATATTTAGACAACATTTTTGGTGTACATGTATTAGAGCCGCGTCACTACAAAACCAACATAGTGGGTTTGCGACCAGCATGGATCCAGACCAGCCTGCGCATCCGTGCAGTCTGATCAGGATCCATGCTGTTCGCTTACCAACTATATTACAAGTGGAGAAAATGACAGCGAACAGCATGGATCCTGATCAGGCTGCGCGGATGCGCAGGCTGGTCTGGGTCCATGCTGGTCGCAAACCCATTATGTTGGTTTTGTAGTGACGCGGCTCATTTGTTCATGGTCAATAGTAATGATCATTCTTTCTGGTCAAATCTTGTCGGCCTTCATTGATTTACTACATGTACTTCATCTTTATCTTATTATCCACCATTTAATGAAGATCGTAACATGAAATTAAAATTATTTTATTTATTTATTTTCTTTATTCTTTCATTCAATAGACGAAAATAATAATTCAGTCACGTACACATCAATGCAATAGGAAATTAATTCATCATTTAACGAGCAAGTAACCAATGTTCCCCATGGATTTATGTTTTTGTAAACTGTCGCTGATACAAAACCTTTAAAAAAAACTTCCCTGATTTACAAGATATTCAACAAAAGGTTTCAAATTAGGTGTATAATAACTTTGCAAAAGAAAAAGGTGTTATTTACAATGAATTGTCTCTAAACATTTTTTAGTTTAAAAATATTTCCTTGTATGCCTCTGATTTGTCGAAAGTTATCACGTAGGGCGACTTTCCATAACCGTGTCCTCTAAAATAGAACAGTTTAAGGCTTTATATTAACGATGAGTGTTATTTTGGAGTAAAATAAGCAACCATAGGAAAGAAAAATGGCATCAGATGCTAGACCAAGCGAAATTTTTGTACAGAATACAACTTTACAAGATCAAAATGGAGCGTTACAACGTCAGTACGAACGTTTGAACAGACATCCATCTATCTTCCAGAGAATGTCGAAACATAAATGTCCAAACTTTGTAAGTAATAAATAAACGTTCTTTGGTTTTATTTTTTTTCCGAGACAGTTTTAGTCGAGTAAAGGTTTTAAAGTGAAATGATACATAATAAAACGTATGTAATGCCATAAATAATTATGCATGTTGATAGTATAAAACTTCAAGATCATTTAAATAACATTGACAAATGGTGCAAAATAAATAATATGGCCTTAAATCCAGATAAATCAAAATGTATGGTAATAGGAACAAGACAAAAAGTAAATATTATGAGAAAATTAATTCTTAAGATAAATGAAATAGCTCTTGAAAATGTAACTGATCAAAAAGTCTTGGGTATTTGCATAGATAACAACTTAAAATGGCACTTGCAAATTGACAATGTTTGTAAAAAAACTTAACGGAAAAATTGCCTTATTGAAAAAAATATCGTATTTTTTGCACTTTGATATGAAATTATTGTTTTACAATGCATATATATTGCCCATTATGGACTATTGTTGTATTATATGGGGTAAAGGAAACACAAACTACATAAATAATGTTTGTAAGTTACAATCAAAGTGCTGCAGCACTGAATGCGACGGACATGCAACCGGAGAGACATTAAGGTTTTCTTTTAGAAAAAAAAACAACACAAAAGATATAACAGAGAAAATTTGTTCCATACAAGTTCGAGATTTGTAGAGCAATATATATTATGTGTCCAAATCTGATGTAATTCAGATTTTCTACTTATACAGAATGAAATTTATGCCTAAAAACTCTGGTCAAACTTGTAAATCAGTGTCCAAGGAATGATATGTAAATAGAAAAAACTGTCAACGAAATATTTCTAAAATAAACCATGCAAATTAACTTCAAGCATAATACATTATACATGTGAGAATGTTATTTAGAATTGCTTCGTGTTATATCATAGTGGGCATACAGACAATAAAATAGAAGTCATTTGTATTTTTATTTCTCTTGGATATGTCTCATTAATTAAAAATATTTTTGGTTGAAATCATCAGCAATTAAAAGTGTATTTTTTAGATTTTTTTTATTTACAAGGTAAAGATGTAGAGGCCAGAGCACATCGTTTTTATTTTAATTTAAATGCCACTTAAGCTGTTCTTTTCAATTTCACACTAAATTCCATTTTCTTACAATTGTAAGTATTGCATGTAAGCAAAGTAAGTATCCGCTGGTTTATTACATGTATAATGTGTACACCCTTATCGCCTGCAGGTGAAGCATAATCTATTTTTAGAATAGCGAATGTTATATCGTGACCTAGAAAAATATGTAAACAAACCACAAGAATCGGAAGTAGAACTGATATTATAACTTCCTTCAATAAAGATTACCATGAAAGACTACATGGTAGTAAAGTGTTGAAAAAACTCTCTTGTTACAAGCATTTTCAAAAATAGATATTTATACTAACCATTATACTATATCTAATTTATTAATAACTGCTGAATATTCAGCTAAACCCGCTGTATGAGTCACGAAAATAGTTCTTCTTTTATTAATGCGCGAGTTATTCTAGAGTCACGAAAAACTTTGATTTGTTAATAATTATGTTTTGTATAATGTAGAAATATTTATGTCCTACTAATAATTTTTTGGAACTCAGAGCTTACACCTTTATTATAGTATAATTTGCTGTCCTACTTTTTCGACAGCTGTAAATCGTTTCGGCAGTAATTTGCATATTGCGCAATAATACTACGGGACTACAACGTTTTTATCAATCAAATACGTTCATATTTTAACTTGGATAACTTAATTTGAAAATTGAAAAGGCTAAATATGGAAGATTTTAAGATATCCCGACAAAGAATGTAAGTTTTAAAGGATCAAATTCATGTACTATTTCATGGGCTGTTACTCGGTTGAGGACACTGCGCGATTGTAGCAGACGAAATCCCATGTGTAGATGAATTAGCTCTGAACGCGCCTGAGGGCGCGTCCGTCGCAAAAACGAATTGCTAAAACATTTTACAGCAACCTCAAAGATCTCCGTCAACAAATCTATTCGAAACTCTTAATTGGTTACCGTTCCTTGACAGATGTAAATACCACACGGCGGTGCTTGTTTTTAAAACTTTAAATAACATGGCACCGACGTATATGACAGAACTGATGACTTTATCCGACAACAAAATATATAACTTAAGATCTAGGTCACGGAAAGATATTGTATTATGGACAAGACCTAAAACAAATTATATTAAAGACACATTTACTTATTATGGCATGAACATTTGGAACAATATACCTTTAAATATTCGTAATGTTAATAACCTTAAATGTTTTAAAGAAAAATACAAAGCATATCTTGATGTTCATATGAATGAATGAGTGAGTGAATGAATGAATGAATGAATAAATATATGAACGAACGAATGAACGAACGAACAAATGATGCAATATACATATATGTTTAAACAAAAATTGTTGAGTGCCTGTCGAAAGTATATGAGTTGTATTATTCTAAAAATTACATATTATACATTCATTTTTCTACCTATGCATGTCCTGTTGTTGTTGTTGTTTTCTTTTTCAGAAGGCCACTTTGGAAATAAGATATATATGATTGTTATTGTATGTTCTTAATGTGTAACCTTCTTTAAATAAAGATATTATTATTATTATTATTATTATTATTATTATTATTATTATTATTATTATTATTATTATAGTATTTAGTATAATACTTGACAAAAACTATAATTATGAGAAAATTAGATATGGTTGTCGTTGGTAGATGTGAGATACATGATGTGATATTACACATCTTTATATAACAGATAAAAAATTATTCTAGAACAAAATATTATTATACATCATACGAATATTTTCATACTAAATCACTTCGAACTCGATCAACATTTTTTTAACAAGAAATACTTTGTAAGAATATCCAAATGGCATATTGTTTTGAAAAATATTTGAAATACTTGTTGATCATGTGACCATTGTAGACCAATCCACTTTAAGCATACGTGATAATCAAACTCCCCGCAGCGGTTACTTCCCCTGATCAGTACAGTTAAAGAAGCAAAGTGTGACGTAACCGCTGTGATGAGTTTGGTGTTGGAATAATCAGAAAACTGTTATATTCGTACATAAGGGTTTTTTTTTTTGCTTTACAGGTTTCAGGAGGGTGTGTTAAGCTTATGGTCATCAGCTTACTTATTGTGACTGCCATTGTTGTCTACTCTGTTACACAGATAAAGCAAGACAGGTGAATATTACTGTTTTGTTTTCTTCTGGTGTCTTTTATTATATATACAATAAAGATGGTGTTAAACAAAATGAAATCAATTTAGGAAATTTATGATTATGAAATTCATATTTTCGTTCAAAAATAATAAGAAGAAATGATAAAAATAAATAACATAATAAATGAAAAACAAAATAAAGATCTAAAAATAAATTATTATCAATTTTATGCTACTTGTCAGCTTTGAAATAAAAATGAAATAAAAAAGAGGTTGTATTATTACATGTTGTATTTTCCTACTTTACAAAATACAAAATCAATAGTACTTGACTAAACTTGGGTGATTTGTGTCAGTGTGTTGTTGACAATATATATTTTTGTACTTTTAAAGCACACTGGAAGCATTGGTTGCACCATCAGCTGAACGACAAACTGGTGATCACAATTCTGCATATGCAATAGAAATGCATTTAGGTAATAAAACACTTTGCCATTCAGTTATCAGATCATATATGAGCCGCGACACGACAAAACCTACATAATGGGTTTGCGACCAGCATGGATCCAGGCCAGCCTGCGCATCCGCGCAGTCTGATCAGGATCCATGCTGTTCGCTTACAATAAAGAAACTGATAGCGAACAGCATGGATCCTGATCAGACTGCGCGGATGCGCAGGCTGGTCTAGATCCATACTGGTCGCAAACGCACTATGTTGGTTTTGTCGTGACATGGCTCATATCTATTTTTGAACAAAATTGTAAGAAAGATTACATTTTAAAAAACCATGTCACAGAACTATAAGATATTTCGTTTCATTTTGTCTAAAAATGGAAAAGGTATTCCCGAGAACGCAACTGAAACAAAAAACAAATATTCGCAGACAATTTTGTGTCAAAGAGGCAGTCCATGATTTTATAAAGGTACATGCGTCATATTCCAAGCCTTCAAATCACACCATTAAAAGTGCTGGAATCAAAAAATTAGGCAAAACATTCATTTCAATAGAAAGTATATAGACCGCGGCTATTCAAGTTCTAAAGACTTAACCTTTTACCGCATGAGCATATTGTGAAAAATGGCCGTTTTCATTGAAAAGCCTCCTGTTACAAGTTCAAACTGCTATGAAACTATGAAAAATGCTTCAATACTGATGAAACTTGGCACAAAATTTAATGTTGACTGAACCATAGCCTCTGTAATAGCATGCTCAATCTTTAATTTCCTGTTACCTTGGCAACGGGGTGCTGCAACTTCTCAATGGATTGAAATAAAGTAAAATGCTTTTAAGCGTTGGTAAGATCGACCTGATGCCATTTTTAGCCTGTCACATGTCAAGAATTTTCTTGGCGATGAGGGGGGGGGGGGGTTGGCTGCCGCCTCCTTTAAATCCTCAGACAGAAGGGGGCACAACCCCCTTCTGGCAACCCCCTGATGTGACTAAATGATGGGAAGTGGCGCCGAAAAAGTGATCACTTCTTTAACAACAATTCTCACATGAAAAACGGAGTTTGGGACCTAAATAGGACATATTTCACTGTTTGAGGCCTCAAAAGAAGGGGAGGGGGGCGAAAAGCCGTCAAAAGACGCCTATATGAGGTTAAAGGTTAACCTCTATTTCTATAATGATTTCAAATTTACACTTATGATCTTATTTCAGAAAAGCAGCCAAGTTATCAAGACTGCAAAGGTCCACAGTTGAAACAGTCCTTTCCTGATTTAGATTACGCACTTTTGGGCTACAACATATTAAAGGGATTTCCGCTCGCTGTCGGACATGACCCAGGTTTTACGTATCCCATATTTAAAGCAGATTATTCCGCCGGAAAACAAACAGCCGACTGTCGATACTCGGTTCCAAGAGGACTTGTCGTCATTCCAGACGTGTCTTGTGTTACGACATTTTCATCCACTACCATACAAACCAAGTACGAATTTTCCAATGCATTATCAACGTATGCAAAATTTAGCGCCAGATCTTGGGGATTTAAATTTTCTGCAAGTTTTGGCTTTAAAAGATTTTCTTCAAAAATGTCCTCGGGTAAATACGTTTACGTTTTGTCCACAGCCAAATGTAATTATTACTTCAGTAAAATGTTAACTGAAAATCCCCCACAATTTGACGATGTATTCATTAAATGGATACGTAAGCTGAATGGAGCTCAGTCGGATGAAGAGCTATACTTTAAATTCTTTCAAACTTATGGGACACATTTTGTAACTGAAGTAACGTTTGGAGCGAGATATACAAACGAGTTTAAGATGACATCAACATTCTATGAGAAACAAATGCGACAAAAAATTAACGTAGAAACAAGTGCGTCTGCTCTCTTGTATGGGGTGTACACCAAGGCAAAATTTAAGCTGTCACACCATCAGGAACAAGCCATGTCAGATTTCCGAGAAAATGTGGAGACTAAGACAATGACCGTTGGGGCTCCGCCGCCGGAAGAAGGAGGTGCTAATGCCTGGGCATCCGAGGTGAAAGAAAACCCAGTACCGTCTTCATACCAGCTCTCATCTATAGAAAATCTATTTACAGCAACATACATGAAGTCATTGGGTGTTGATTACAATGGAATATTCAAGAAGATCGTAAGTTACAAGCAAAACTATTGCTTATTCCTTCAAAAGAAAGGTGAAATAGAATCTTGCGAAGATCTTGCTGCGGGCATTGAATTACGGAATACAAGAATTGTTGGAGATTATAAAGAGGAGGCGGTGTCGTCTGTGTCAGACTGTATTGAGATATGTCTGGACGACATCCCTTGTGTAGCAGTTTCGTTTTGTACCACTTGCTCGGCTAAAAACCGTGACTACAAAACGTGTCATTTAATCGCAGAAAACAATACTGACAGTTTGACAAGTATAAAGACCGATGATGAAAACGCTGAGTGGCAAACTAACGTGTTTCCGGGAAAGATCGATTTGCAGCTTGTGGTCAACAGTACAGGTATTATTGGCGTTCCGCGGGGATTCGAAAATGAGGAGGACAAGAAAGCAGACTCGAAGAAATGTCAACAACTGTGCATTGAGGACGCTTATTGTTCCGCATACTCTTATACTGAGTCGGCTGATACAGTGTCAAGATGCAAAATGTACGGAAAGGAGCAAATGAACGGATTACAGCCGGAAGCAACAGACACGGACACATTTTTCATTCCAACTTAAATTCATTACAGCAGTCTCGGGCTGAATGCATGAAAAAAATTATTGATTGAATCTATTTTATTTCTACTCATTTCTTCTCCTGTGTTTAAGCACTGAGATAACAATTGGAGTCATAACCAAGCTGCTAATTAATTACGCTTCCCGTGTTAATCATTATTAGAAATTGTGTCCTATCTATATAAATTATATTTATGTAGTCTATTGTTTTTTCTAAGATACATATGTTGTAGTTGTTTTACTAAATCTCAAAACTTTCCTTTCTCAAAAAGCACTTCTCTTTTTAATTTCCATCGTAATGGCTTTCATATTTTCAACGTTCTGACTTTATTTATACATGTACATGTATAATATCAAATAAACGACAGACCAATGTTTGCTTGGTAATGTTTTGGAAAACCCTAATTCTATAACAAAAAATTATTTTGTAATACAAATGTACTATAATGTGAGAAATAATAATGAAATAGTATCAAAAGGTTTCAGCAATACGTCCATAATGACATGAGTTTAAGGTCAACTAAAAGTAATTTTTTCTTAAATTATGTTACAATGATTATAACTTAAAATTGGTTCAAAAGTGAAAAAAGTGCTGTAACCACTACAAAAACTCTGAATGTTGGGGGTTAATAATGCAACAGAACATTGCTACACTTTTTCGCAAGAAATAAAAAGAGAAAAAAGTAAACATGCACAGAGTTTTATATAAATGATGTAAATAAAGAAAACGTTCCCTGTACATAACTTTTCGTTGGACT